CCGGGGGGGGGCAACGCGCCGGCCGCCCCGGTAGGGGCGGGCCTGTCCCCACATAACCACAGCCAGCAACAGGGACAGGGAAGCTCCACTCTGCCAGGTGGAGCCAGGCTGGGATAATCCCAGTCGCTGAGGTTTATGGGGCACGAGCGGGCACTGTGCTAGACTCTTCAGGAGGATTGCTAAATGAATCGTCTCCTGGCCAGGAAAACTGGGTGGAACAGCGAGCCTGGAGAAGGTTCAGGTGTGGCGTAGCACCAGTGGCAAGCCTGCCAGGTGGAAGATGCAGAGGTTGGCCTCCAGGGCTGGGCTGCACGCAGGGGCTTGGGGCAGGGACAGCTGAGGGGTGGGACATGGCACTCGTGGTCTCCTAGGACACTGTGACCTGGCTGGGGCACTGCCTGTCCACAGAGACACCCTGGACCAGCCCACATCTCCCCAGAGTCCCCAGCATCAGCAGAAAGCGGCCTCTCCAGAGACTGCTCTTCCCCGAGAGCCCACAACAACCTGATGGCTTGCTTTCTCACTTTCCCTCTCTCTCTTTGCATCTCTCTGGTGAATCAAATAAGAATAATAATTTAATTGATAATTAAATAATAATTAAATAAGTAATTCTTAAAAAAAAAATAAAAGATCTCTAGAGGTCAGCTGGTGGCATGGTGGTTAGTTAAGAAAGCTGGGTCCCATGTGGCCTACTGAGCAAATCAAGTTTCATATCCAGGGGCTTGAGAAGCACTTCAGGCGTGTGTGCATGCGCACCCAAAATCCTGAGGGGAGAATGGAGGAGAAGGGATTGCCACAAACACACACACAAACACACACCCCAAAAGGTGCTTTTTCAGTTCCCCTCTCTGTGTCTCTCTGTCTCTCTCTGTCTCTCTGGCGTGGGTGTCGTATAGCAATTTTTTTAAGAACTTTTTTTTTTTGGAAGAACCATTTTTTTTTATTTTAACTTTATTTATGTATTTATTTTTAATTTGACCAGAGAGGGACAGAGAGAGAGAAAGAGAAGGAAAGTGAGAAAGCAAGCCGCCAGGTCCAGGTCTCGAACTACAGTCAGCCATGTGGGAGTCCAGTGCCTTAACCACCACCCCACTTCCAGCACCTCTTATAGCAACTTTAAAAAAAAAAAAATCTCTAGAGAGCTGAGAGAAGGTGCCAGAATCATAATATTAGCAGCAATAATACCCTTGTAGAGCTCTCAGACCGAGTGCTCTAAATGTTTTATATATATTGACGCCTTTATCCTCATAATTCCAAATACTGTTTTAGTTACCATTTCAGATGGAGAAATTGAGGAGCAAAGGAGCTTGCCCATAGTAAGGAGCAAGGCTGGATTTGAATCCAAATCCCTTGGTTCTAGAATCTGTACTCTTTTTTTTTTTTTTTTTTTGG